CGAATCCCTACTAATGCACTGTCCGCTTGTGTGTCAATTCTAACTACCAGGCACCTTGGCCTTGTTCTTCTCCTCCCACTGCTTGCGGTGGCCGGGAGGAAGCACAGTTGCGCCAGTGCCCTTGCGGATCTGTCCGCGCACGGCGCCCGCGGGGAACGCCGGGGTCGACACAACCACGTAGAATTTCTCGGGGTTCACCATCACTTTCGCGAACGCCGTCGAAAGCGCTTCGCCAGACGCCGTTTTCATGTTGGCGACGTCTTCCCACACGCCGGTCGTCGCATAGCTGAGATAATTCTCCGGCGACGCAGCGCCGCTCTTCGAGCTAATGCCCGTGGTGTTCACCCATTTCGCTCCCGCGAAGCTGATCACCGCCGGCCCCGTCGCATCGCTGGCGGCCATGTTGATCGTCGCGCCGGTGGGCAGACCCGCGACAGACAGCTTCCGCACGGAGACGATATACTTGATGTTCACCACTTTGCCGTTCTTATACACCGTCATGATCGCGTTGCCCGCCGCGTTCGCGTCGCCGGGTGCGGCGCCAACGACGGACGACCCGCGGAGAACGGTGCCCACCTGCATCACCTCGCGCCCCAGCGGCTTCCCCTTGTGCTCCGCCCCCCCGGGGACCGGCGCGGGGTGCGCCTTGGGCGGTCCGCGGAGTGCGCCTGCGCCGCCTGCTGTGCTCTGCTTGGGCGCGCCAGGGCCCTTCTGCGTTCCGCCGGGGGTCTTTCCCTTGGGGGTGGGCGCGGTCGTCACTACGGGGCTGGTGGCTTTCGCGTTCGGCGCGGCGGCGATGCTGGCGATCTTCGCGGTGCGCGCGGCAGTTCCGGGGAGGGGGGTGTCTTCCACCGTCTGCGGCTCCACCGCGGGCACGGCGGGGGTCGCTTCTTGGAGCTTTCGAGCGTCTACTGCTAGGCCTGAAAAATGGAGGAAGGGAAGGGGAGCAGCGTTAGATTAGATTTGAGGGAAGGGAATACTTGTCGAATCTGGAGGAGGATACTGCTGAAAGTATTGACAGAGTAGTTGGATTTTGTGAAGTGAACGAGGCAGAAATGCGCCAGGACTTCGGATGTTTACAGGTAGTGAAGACTTACATGAGATGGCGAAAATCGCCAGAAGCGCTGTCAGGAAGCGAGTGGTCGACATTGGTTCGGTAAGTGGTTTGCGAATACTAGTGCTCGACTACTTGATTGTACTCTGATTCGGAGACCTTGTTCGTGGAATTTCGATTGAGTGTTGAAGGCCTGGAATTGGAGAGAGGAACGAGTGAACTGTTGGGAAAAGGTGAGAAGGTGGACGCTTTTATGGGAATCTCTGCGAATGTTTTAATGTCGTGGCATGTGAAAGTTTGGGTTGGGATGGGAAGTCATTTTTCACGCACCGCGACATTTGAATTTTCGGAAATGCGGTTCGTTGAGAGTGTAGCGGGATTCGGTGATTGAGCGGTCAATTTTCGAAATATGAGGAATTTTCGCTGTGGTGTAAAACACTTGAGGAATTTCCCCCTTCCAAAGTTGTCAGAAGCTGACGGAAACTCTCGGTGCTCCTGCTCGCTCCAAGTTTGACGCAGGGCAGGGGAGATAGACGGAAATCTTGTCATCAGACCCTCCAACGGGTCCATAGCAGTCAAATCCTCCGGCCAACGTTTTTCAGCCAACGGAAACTGTTCCAGAACAAACCCGTGGGAGGGAGGTTCAATCAAACGTTCCCCCGTAGAGCTGGACGAAGGTGTAGCCGCTCAAGTTACTCGATAATACCGACGGATCTGCGTTCGCCGACGATTTCGTCACAGACCGCTCAGCAGCAAAATGGACGGTGCGAAGAAATACGTCAAACGGGATACCAGTCACCTTGCCCACTCTTGCTCTCAGTCGGTGACGAAAAACTTCGCGCACAAATATCTGCCCGGGCCGGGAGGCCAGAACACCGACCCCAGTTACCCGCTCTCTCTTCCGTAGATCGGTGAATTTGCTTTTGCATGGACTCTGTCGAGCCGCATTTCTCGACCTTCCAATGTCGCGGTTTGGCTCCAGACTTTTCCCTCCCCAACGTTGCGACACGGGTTGACACACAACTACAAAACCCTAGACTTGCTCATCATTCTCACTCACCAATCATTCAGCTTCCGACAACTTCAATCCACATCGTAGCTTCATTCTCTACATCTCTACAACTCCACACAACCCTACAACCTGCTGGCTCGAAGTTTTCCAGTTACGAGCGTTCCATTCTCCCTCTCGACCACTTGACGCAATGTCGACAACTCGCTTCCTCTCCGTGCTCTTGGCGATTCTCGCCTTGTCATGTAAGGACTTCTCTCCCAACATTCCTACTTTCAAGTTGTTCTCTCGCCTCATTGAAACACCGATTAAGTGTGTGGTATTCCATGTAGCTCCCGTATGACTCTTATTCCTCCTCCACCCTTTTTCTGTCCTTCAGGCCTAGCGGCAGACGCCCGAAAACTACAAGAAGCGGACCCCGCAGTCCCGGCAGTGGAGCCGCAGACAGTGGAAACCACCCCCCTCCCCGGAACTCCCAAGCTCGCGAGCATCGCCGTCGCGCCGAACGCGAAAGCGAGCAGCCCCGTAGTGCCCACGACGACCGCGCCCACCCCCAAGGGGAAGGCCCCCGGCGGTAAGGTCGCTCCCGCCGGCGGAAAGCAGCAGGGCCCTGGAACGCCCAAGCAGGGCGCAGCAGGCGGCGCAGGAGCGCCCAAGACGCACCCCGCGCCGGTCCCCGGGGGAGCACAGCACAAGGGGAAGCCGCTGGGGCGCGAGGTGATGCAGGTGGGAACCGTTCTCCGCGGATCGTCTGTCGTGGGCGCTGCGCCCGGCGACGCGAACGCGGCGGGCAACGCGATCATGACGGTGTATAAGAACGGCAAAGTGGTGAACATCAAGTATATCGTCTCCGTGCGGAAGCTGTCTGTCGCGGGTCTGCCCACCGGCGCGACGATCAACATGGCCGCCAGCGATGCGACGGGGCCGGCGGTGATCAGCTTCGCGGGAGCGGAATGGGTGAACACCACGGGCATTAGCTCGAAGAGCGGCGCTGCGTCGACGGAGAATTATCTCAGCTATGCGACGACCGGCGTGTGGGAAGACGTCGCCAACATGAAAACGGCGTCTGGCGAAGCGCTTTCGACGGCGTTCGCGAAAGTGATGGTGAACCCCGAGAAATTCTACGTGGTTGTGTCGACCCCGGCGTTCCCCGCGGGCGCCGTGCGCGGACAGATCCGCAAGGGCACTGGCGCAACTGTGCTTCCTCCCGGCCACCGCAAGCAGTGGGAGGAGAAGAACAAGGCCAAGGCGCCTGGCAGTTAGAATTGAAACAAATGATAACCCTAAGGCAGACGTCGCGGGGAGTCTTCGATCTCCCCGCAATTAGGTGGTTTCACACGTAGGAAAAGAACTCCTAACTTGGGCCACGCTAGTCAGCCACTCGGCTTCAGGCGTGTTTCCTCTGATTTGATATATGAATAGGATTCGGATGTGTGTGGCAAAAATAGACGGCATGCCATTTTGCCAATATCCGTGTCATGATTCGTTGATAGTTTTGACGACAGCATCATTTCAAGTGCTTTCACGTGACGTCCCCATCAAGCTGTTGGTCAGAGCGTTTCATTGTATAGCTTTCTGCTCTGGCAACACCAGCAGCTGAGCGCATGCTCAAGATATCCATGCATCCCATGAGCCCGCATTAACCTAATGCTGCATGTCAAGAAGCTGCACACAACACACATACGGTATCTAACCACTTGCAGCCATCATTCAAAGAAGATAGTGCTGGCGTAACTGGAGTGTGTGTGTGTCTCTCTGTTTGTGTGTGCATGCTAGCATGGCTTTGGATTTTCCCTGCACCTCAGTTTACCGTCTATTGTATAGCACTCCTGTTGGCAACTTGTGCACAACAATGAAAATAAGGCCAAGATGATGCCGACATCAGTTTTAATAAGCGTGATGATGTAACTAGAGTAATTTTCCGTTCTATATTTTCACTCAATGAAGAGAATCCATGCGCTGCCAGTATGTACAGTGTAGGCTGAATCATACTGAATCATGTACAGTTTGTTGGTCATTCAGATTGTTCGGTATAACGAAGCCGACATAGTTGTCAAAACGCGTGTTTTCCAAAAACCACAAGGAAATCGCACCCAGAACATTCTCAAGGTTCGATTCATCGGCCCCCTTTCGCATGCCAGTCGTTCTTCTTTCGTGGCCATCGGGATTCACGAATCTTCGGTTGACGACAGGCAAGATAACTGACTGACAGTGCGACAGACTTGAAATCAGCAACACGCAAAGCTTACGAATCTCTCCGCGAATCACGGCCTCGCGGCGCCGAGAATGGTGCTTGCGTTTCCGCGCCACATCTCCGCGGCCCCTCACCACCACGTCCCCATCCGACGCGCTGCCACATATCACGCTCCTCGCGTTTCCCGCCAAGTCGTTTCCCCTACGGCCTCTCTCGTCGTAAAGGTTCCCGCAAATCGCGCTCCCGCTGCAGCCGCCGGATTTAGCGCTACAGTCGGATTCGCAGCGTCGCGTGTTTTCGGGTTACCCGGTTCGCGCGCTCTGCTCGCGTCGCAGCGCGCGACAGCCGGTAGCTGCGCTACAGCCGGAGCAGGCTCGCGCACCGCGGGGAGTGGCGGCGCGTTGGGGGTGAGAATGGTGCTCACCGAGTCGCAGCCTCTCGCTTTAGGCACCCGAGCGCCGGATTTCACGGTAAGTTACCAGCTAGGACGAATAGATTGCTCTTCTTCAAGTACACACACTAACGATTTAGTAACTCATATAGAAATTTGCAGATGCAGTTTGTATCGAATGTCGAGCGATGCAGCTGAATCCTGCAGCTATTATTTTATGGTCCTATGCACAGGAGGCAGCAAGGCATGCGAGAGACATGCCCCGATTGCTGACGCGCGCGTGCACTCTCCGACTTTACATGCGTGTGTGATTGTATCCCCGTGTGACTGTACACGCGATGTGACAATACCTATGTGCATAATGTACCAGCTAGTGGAGCCGCTGACCGGCAAGACATGGTCTCTCTCCGACTTTGACGGCCACCCGGCTCTCCTCGTAAGTCCTCCTTTCCTCCTTCCCATTTCTCCCCGCCTCCTTCTCTTCCCCTCCTTCTCTCTCCCAACCCTCTCTCCCACCCCTCTCCCTCCTCCGACTTTGACGGCCACCCGGCCCTCCTCGTAATGCCACCTCCTTTTGAGTAGCAATGGTTCAGTGAGCCCCTTTTGAAAATTCTCAAGATCCTTCTTTTGGGTAGCTATGGTTAATGAGCACACCTTCTCCCCTCTCAGTCCAATTCCTCCTCCTTGTGAACACCGCGCCTCCCAAGTCATCTCCTCCGGAATCAATGCCCTTTTGTGGTTCATACAGACTCATTTCCTTCCTATTCCACTTCCCCCTCCCCCCTCCACCGTCTTCCACCCCTCTTTACCCCTTCCCCACCTTCTCAAACCGGACACTGTCAGGTCATGTTCATCTGCAACCATTGCCCGTTCGTGGTTCATATCAAGTCGCAACTTGTTGCTCTTGGCAACGAGTACATTTCCAAGGTACACTTTTGAGCTACATCTTCAAGTTACATCTCCAAGTTACATGTCCGAGTTACTCTTCCACACGTCCTCTCGCCTCCAATTCTCTTCAGCATGGGCTAGGAGTGGTTGCCATGCCAACTCGTCCCACTCGGCCCCCACACCCACTCGGCTGCTCCTTCCCCTTGCTTGCTTCCCGCCCTTTCTCTTGTTGCTCCCCATACATCTTCCATGCAGCATGGGCTAGCAGTGGTTGCAATCTCGTCCAACTCGGTGCTCACCCACCCTCAGGTAAGCCGTGCAACCTACCGAAAGTTGTGATGGTCGTGAATACAGAATGCTATGACGCACCATGCTTCACAATAGCCTCGAGATGACGTGTCAGTCGTTCCTCGAATGACCGTGAACCAGGTCACCACTCTTTGTCTCTCAACTTGCGTTCTTATGCTCCTCAATCTCCCCTCTACGCATTCTACTCAACAACAGGACGGACCTGACAGAATGGCAGAGGAAGCCAAGCAGTTCAACTTCCCCTTCTGCTTTTCAATTTCCTCTTTCCTCCTGGCTCCACGTCCCTCTGCCTGCACCCCTCTCCTCCCTCTACCCCGCATCAGGACGGACCCGATAAAATGGCTGAGGAAGCCAAGCAGTTCAACTTCCCCTTTCCCTACCTCTATGACGAGGTGCGTCTCACCCACCCTTCATCTGACAGTTCATCTCACAAAGTGGCTGTTTAACCTGAGTGTTTTTTAGAATCTAGCAGTTCAGCTTCCCGTTCCCCTACAGTTCATCTCACTAAGTGGCAGTTGAACCTGAGTCTTCTGTGACCACCAAGCACTTCAGCTTCCCGTGCCCCGACAGTTCATCTCACTAAGTGGCAGCTGAACCTGAGTCTTCTGTGACCACCAAGCACTTCAGGTTCCCGTGCCCCGACAGTTCATCTCACTAAGTGGCAGCTGAACCTGAGTCTTCTGTGACCACCAAGCACTTTAGCTTCCCGTGCCCCGTCAGTTCATCTCACTAAGTGGCAGTTGAACCTGAGTCTTCTGTGACCACCAAGCACTTCAGCTTCCCGTTCCCCTACCTCTATGATGGGGTGGGTTTCACGCTTCCCTTTTTGGGAACTTCAGAAAGGTACTGTACTGCAAGAAAGACTTTTGAGGCGCCTCAAAAGAAACTTTAGAAAGGTACTGTACTGCAAGAAAGACTTTTGAGGCGCCTCAAAAAAAACTTTAGAAAGGTACTGTACTGCAAGAAAGACTTTTGAGGCGCCTCAAAAAAAACTTCAGAAAGGTACTGTACTGCAAGAAAGACTTTTGAGGCGCCTCAAAAAAAAGTTTAGAAAGGTACTGTACTGCAAGAAAGACTTTTGAGGCGCCTCAAAAAAAACTTTAGAAAGGTACTGTACTGCACGAAAGGTAAGCCCCATACCGGCGATCTGTTGCTTGTCCTGCTGTGCTGCGAATCCGCTTAATTCAGGCAGCTCAGCTTCCCCGTCCCCTACCTCTATAATAATGTGAGTCCCATGGCCTTTAACCCACTCATCTTCCCCCGCCCTAAACCTCATGTGTCTTGCCCCTGCCGCGCCATCACGCTGCCTGCACGCCAGACTTCTTTCACTTCAACAAGGACAGCCACCGCCCGTTCGAGCTTGCATATCACGGCCAGCTCGACAAGGTTTTCTTACCTTTACCTTTCCCTTACCAATCAACCTTTCCAATCCCACTCTCCCCCATCTATCAGACTCAAGAGGTGGCCAAGGCTTACCATGCTGCCTGCACTCCAGACTTGTTCCTCTTTCAAAAAGGATGGTTGTCCTTCCCGATCACCCGACCTCCTTTCCCCTGCCAAACCCCACCCTGCAGACTCAAGAAGTGGCCAAGGCGTATCATGCTGCCTGCACGCCCAAAGTCTTTCTCTTCAGAAAGGACGGCCGCCGCCCCGTTTGAGCTGGCATACCACCGGGCACACCTCATAGCCCTCTATGCCCCATGCCCTCCCCACCTCCCCTCCCCCCGTATCTCTTGCCCATCTATCAGACGCAAGAGGTGGCCAAGGCCTACCATGCTGCCTGCACGCCGGACTTCTTTCTCTTCAAGAAGGACGGCCGTTCTCCCCTCTCTCCTACCCTTACACCAGACTCAGGAGGTGGCCAAGACCTATCACGCTGCCTGCACGCCAGACTTCTTTCTCTTCAAAAAGGACGGCCGCCGCCCCCTTTGAGCTCGCATACCACGGCCAGCTCGACGACTCCCGCCCCAACAACGGCCCGCCCGGTCACGGCAAGGACCTGCGTGCTGCTCTCGACTGCGTGCTCTCTGCACGACCGGTCCCCAGTGCGCAAAGGCCCAGGTGAGCTTCTTGATGGCCAATGCAAACCCAAGGGCATACCACGGCCACCTGTACGACTTGCTCCCCTCTAATGGCCGCCCAGTCACCAGGAAAGACTTGCGTGCTGCACTGGATTGTGTGCTCGCTGCACGACCGGTCCCCAGTGCTCAAATGTCCAGGTGAGCTTACCTTTACCCACCTTTACGTTTGGGATCGTTCTCTGCTCACCACCCAAGGACCTGCGTGCTGCTGTAAATTGTGTGCTGTCGGCAAGACCCGTTTCCAGTGCCCAGAGGCCCAGGTAAGCTGTCCGGTAGCAAGGTAGGTAGGGGTCTAAGAGCCCACTCATCACCCCTCCAACGGCCGCCCTGTCACCAGCAAGGACCTGCGTGCTGCTGTAAATTGTGTGCTGTCGGCAAGACCCGTTTCCAGTGCTCAAAGGCCCAGCTGAGCTTACCTTTACCCACCTTTAACTTTGTGGTCGTTCTCTGCTCACCACCAAGGACCTGCGTGCTGCTCTTGACTGTGTGCTGTTCCGGCAAGACCCGTTTCCAGTGCTCAAAGGCCCAGGTGAGCTTGCCCTTTACCCACTCAAAGCCTTGACTTTGGGGTCGTTCTCTGCTCACCAGCAAGGACCCCCATCTGAGCTGGCATACCACTGCCAGCTGGACGACTCCCGTCCCTCCAACGGCCCGCCAGGTCACCGGGAAGGACTTGCGTGCTGCCCTAGACTGCGTGCTGTCCGCTCGACCGGTCCCCAGCGGTCAGAAGCCCAGTAAGGTTGCCTTTACCCAGTCACAGGCACGCCAGTCCCCAAAGGTGATGCCTGCCCCCAAGGAGGCAGGCCAGTCGCCAGCGATCAAAAGCCGAGGGGTGAGGTTCTCGATGGCAATACGGACTAGGGTCTAGAACCCCAACGGTTACCCGGTTACCAGCTAGGATCCCTGCAAGGCTCTGGGTTGGACGTGCTTTCTGGAAAGCCGGTCCCCAGCGGTCAGAGGCCCAGGTGGGTTTCACTGCTTGCCTACCGGTCGGAGTCGTCCCATTGGTCATAGTTTCGAAACGTCTCAAAACTTGATTATTCTGAGGCGCCTCAAAACACAGGCTCAAAACCACGTTCTCTCGACTGTGTGCTCTCTGCGTGACCTGTCCCCAGCGCTTAGAAGCCCAGGTAAGGCATTATTTACTAGATGGGGGTCTAATCTAAATTCCCATGTGGTTGTTCGTGGTTACCCTTCTTTGGCTGACTCGATTGCAAAAACCCTGCTTGATTGTTCTGCCACTACCATCTTTTGTTCCCTGACTAGCCTTCTCGTCTTTGTGCAGCATCGGCTGCAACATAAAGTGGGCGCCCGGGAATGAGCCTGACTACTTTGGATAGATTATTCATAAAGCTTATTGACTCACGGTAGTGAGAGGCTCACGTAAGGCTCGTGAGTCCCACAACAGGCTACCAAAGTAATGAGCTGGGACCAGCCAACATAAGTACTTTGCGCAAGAGCAGAGCTTGGCTTGACGCAGTTTTGTTCAATGTGCGAGTACGGACAAAACACCGTGTTATACGTTTGCTTCTCTTGAGTGTAGCGTGAGATTATACAAGGACTGTTGTGACTGTCCCAATCATGTGTGCATATAGATGAACCAGTAATGCAATGCAGTCCTAGTTGTTTCAACTTCGTCTGGTGGTTGCTTGATATGCATCTTTCCAGATTCTTGGAAGCTTGATGCTTCCTAGAGTGGAAAGAACACGACTTGAGAGTCGGGCTCGGCTCGGACGCACTTAATCATGTAAAACAGATGTTTAGAGTCGACAATCACTGATCGACTGGAGTAGAGGTAGAGGGTAGCGGGTGCATGAGTCTACTCGCAGGTTGAGCAGGCAGCTCCGATGGGACTTGGAAGAGATTAATCGTCGAAAGTGGAGGGAGGGAGTGGCCACTGGCGTCTCAAGCAATGCACTCGTGCCACTGCTGCCATGTAGTCTGATGATCTGCCAAGGAACAGGGTGAATGAAGAGGACAGAGAGAGGGGAAGGAGGAAGAAGGCACTCGAGCAGTGCAAGGGTGAGGTGGGTTTGCCACTCTGGCTTCTCAAGCAATTGCACTCGTGGCACTGCTGCCATGTAGCCTGACGATCTGTGATGAACAGGGTGAATGAAGAGGACAGGGAAAGGGGAAGAGGCTGGAAGGGTAAGCAGAGTTTACCACTGGCGTCTCAAGCAATGCACTCGTGCCACTGCTGCCATGTAGCTGACGATCTGTGATGGAACAGGGTGAGGAAGAGAAGGACGAGGAGAGGTGAAAGAGGGGGAAGGTAGAGCAATGTTCGACACTCGCTGTTGCAACATGCACTCGCGTCACTGCTGCCATGTAGTCAGACAACCCGTGCTGGACGGGTGAATCTCTTTTGAGAATCCTCAAAAGCGACTCTCGTGGATGGGTGAACTAGGAGGAGGAGGGGAAACAGACGAATGTGGAACGAAGGCACTAGCAGCAGTGCAAGCAAGGAGCCACGTGTAGATAGGTTATTTTGAGACGTCTCAAAAACAACCTATCTACACGAAGGCGCTAGAGCAGTGCAAGCAAGGGAAAGAAAAAGCAGGATTTGCGACTGGCGTCTCAAACAATGCGCTGGCACCACTGCTGCCATGTAGTTAGACGATCAGCTTGGGACTGTTGAGGGAAGGAGTGGAACGGGTTATCATCATGTCATGCGCCATTGCAACAGGTGAGTTTTGGGTTGATGAGTTGAGAGGGCAATGCCACTGCTGCCATGCCATCAGGCAGTTTGTGTGGAATGGGGTGAGTGGGGTTTTCGCAACCGGCAGTGCAAGGCAGGTGAGTGGAGTTTCGCAACCAGGTAAATGGGTTACCTGCAGGCGTATTCCGTGGCAGCTGCTGATTGGATGTACTTCCGACTTGTGGCCTCATCCCCCCTGAAGGGCCAGTGGGAGAAGGAGAGAGTGAGAGTGAGTACGAGACGTGAGTGAGTGCTGTGTGTGTGGGGGAGGGAGTCGTAGAGTGAGGGAGAGGCCAAATACATGCTGGGCATGAGCCCATGGATACGCGGGCACATGCACACATAAGCACATGCATACATAAGCACATGCACACCTACGCACATGCACACATAAGCACATGCACACATGGGTACCTGCACACATATGTACAGCGCACATGGGTACATGCACACATGGGAACATGCACACGTGGGTACAGGCACAATGGGTACATGCACACATGGGCCACATGCACAAATGGGCACATACAAACGAAGGTTTCACAACGCTGTCATGACTGTTAGACCTACAATAATTGTTAGACTCGTAAACATCCTTATGACATGAACAGTACCATGATTTTCAAAGAAGAGGGCCAGCACAATAACCGAGCATAGAAGGCTATCTGTGAGGCGCCTAAAAATCTCACCTTTTGAGGCGCCTAAAAAATCACCTTTTGAGGCGCCTGAAAAATCACCTTTTTGAGGCGCCTAAAATATCACCTTGAGGCGCCTAAACAAATCACCTTTTGAGGCGCCTAAAAACTCACCCTTTGAGGCGCCTAAAATATCACTTTTGAGCGCGCCTAGATATCACCTTTTGAGGCGCCTAAGAAATCACGTTTTGAGGCGCCTAAAAAACACCTTTTGAGGCGCCTAAAAAATCACCTTTCGAGGCGCCTAAAAATCACCTTCTGAGGCGCCTCAAAAAACAGTACCATGATTTCAAAGAAGAGGCCGACGTATAACCGAGCATAGAAGGCTGATGACCCACCCTCGTCATCCCCTGCTGCTGCCAACACCTGTGTCTCCACATGCCATGCCATCAGTTCCATTTGGTTCCATACCATGCCATGCCATGCCATCCGCATCATGTCATGTCCAGTACCACGCCATGGCACTCCATTTGCCATGCCACGCCCCATATGTGTGTGGAACGCTGGATTGAGAACACTGTAACGTGGCATGTAAGCGTCTACCACTTAGAGTGCGGAGGAATGGAGGAAGAAGCAAGTGCGAGGTGAGACATGAGTGGGAAGTGTGGAGGTGGGGAGGTGGGAGGGGTGCGAGAGGAAGGGACCAGAGAGATCAGCCTCAAGGGATTAGCTGCACTGCGCGAGATTACCTGCAAGGTGAAGCAGGAGCGAGGTGAGTCACGAGTGGGAGGTGGGGATGGGAGGGGTGCGAGAGGGAGGGACCAGAGAGATCAGCCTCAAGGGATTAGTTGCACTGCACGAGATTACCTGCAAGGGGTCAGCTCCCGTTTTGAACATGTCATACGCTGCTCGTAGCACCTTCCCTGGGTCTCGAGGCACCTGAGCAAGGGGAGCAGGAAGAGTGTGTGGCGAGATGATGGGATAGGCAGCTGAGAGTCCCCACCCAAGTAAAGCAAGACGGGTTTCGAGACGTCTTGAATCCTTACACGTCCCAGAACATAGGCGTGTGAAGACAGGACTGGGAAAATAATTTTGCCCAGTCAAATGAAGTGGCTGAAAATAAGCAGTTGAGAAAAGTAGAGAAAGACGAGGGGAAAAGCCACCTCTAGCGATTTTCTGCACCTGGTTGACTTCTGAGGCACTTTCATGACTTTTGAGGCACTTTTGCGACTTTTGAGGCACTTTTACGACTTTTGAGGCACTTTTACGACTGTTGATGCACTTTTACGACTTTTGAGGCACTTTGCGACTTTGGAGGCAGCACTTTTGCGACTTTTGAGGCACTTTTGCGACTTTTGAGGCGCCTGGAAGAAACCGATTTCCTATCAAGTGAGATACCCACCTCTAGCATGCTTTCTCAGGCTGAGTCCACACCATTCGCCCTGGCCTCTTAAACAGAGACGACTTTGAGGCGACTGAAAGCTATGTATATATATAGTTATATATATAGATATATGTGTACTTATCATGAAAGACACGTGGGACACCCACCTCTGGCATGCTTTCTTGGGCTGAGTCCACACCATTTGCCCTGGCCTCAGAGACAAAGCACCAGATGGACTGGCGGGAAGGGCAACAGAAGAGAACAGGTTTGACAAAAGCATTAGCCACTCGAAGTACAAAACGCCAGACAATCCACAATACAAAGCACCAGACATCTTGCAAATCAAAGCAGTAAGGACTGGCAAGAAGGGAAGGGGGAGAGTGCGAAGGTGGAAGTAAGGGGAAGGGCATGGGCACTGGCATGTGCATGGGTACGGTCTTGGGCATGAGAATTTGCATGGGACAAACAGTTGCTTGGAACAATAGGTGCTTCTGAAACTGAGGAGATTTACTGAAGCTGTTCTTCTCACCTCTTCAGCGTCTCTTGAGTTTGCTGCAATGCAGGCACGAAACTGCTGCGAAGCTTCTGCAAATCTGACACACCAAGGCAGGAGAATATGGGAACGTTGAGAAGGCATACAACTTAGTCTCTTGAGAAAACCGTGGAAAGGGGAAATTTGTCTTGTCGGAAATCCAGTGTCATGACAAATGGATAAACGAGCAAAAGGTGACATTCAGTGCAGACAGCACAGCACACACCAGCCATACACAGGCAACCGAGACAAACCTATTGAGGTAGAAAAGCGAAAGTCCTTTCTGCCATAGGTCTGCTTGGCAGAGGACGGCATGGCATGAACCATTGTATGTAGACCCATGCCAGCACACGCCAGTCACAAGTATTCTATATTAGGACGGACCTGTTGAGGTAGAAGAGCGAAAGTCCTCTCTGCCATAGATCTGCTTGGCAGTGGTTGGGATGGAAAGAGGAAAGCCGGGCAGTATCAGTACACACACAAACGAGC